TGAAGAATACAAAACCTTCGCAGCCAGCCCCGCCCGGTAGGACTTCGAAGCAAAAAAGGAAAAGACGCAAAGAAGGGAAGATTTTGAGATGGGTACAGATATTTACGAAGGAGTGGAGGTACCGGTGGGCGTTAGGAGTTATTTGGCCGGGCAAAATCCTAAACGCATGGCAAACCTCAGTAAGGAGGGGGCGAAAGGGGAAAACTATGCCCGCATCCAGGGAAATAGTATGGAATCCTATTCTATCCTCCCGGTGGGGCTCTACGATATTGGGCCAGTTGGGTTCGTAGAGGAGGGCATACCCATCCGAGAGCCTCCTACGAATTTTGTTCAGGGCGATTTTGGATACGCGTGAAGGGATGTCAAGAACGTAAAAGGTGGGGAGTGGAAAGTAACCGGCAGCATGGAGCCGAGCCTCCCACGCATCCGGGTTTCGTGTTCGGGATCATAGGGACCCGGTTCGTCATCAACCGGGTCATCCCTCCCCACGAAGGTTTCACCGGGCACCTGATTTACAGGATGCGGGTCGGGAATGGAAGAGTTGGGAACCTGACCGGGCGTAGATCCAGGAGAAGAAGACCCGGTCGAGGAAGATGAGTTGGAATCCTTAGAAGAGCAGTCCTCTGAGGACGAGATCCTATCGCTAAACGAAGACATGGCCGGGAGAGAAAAAAGAGAAGGAAGGGAGAACTTACTTGACTCGGAGGGCTGGATAGCGAAAGCTAAGGAACTTGACCGGTGAAAGCTCTAGGAGGCGAAGTGCGAAAAGTGAGGAGTGAAAGGGGTTGGAAGCCTTTATATAGGCGAGGAAGAATGGAGCGAGGGCGACGTGGCTTCCCCTGGGCACGCCACGTCAGGCGGCGCAATCATGACACCTAGGGAAGGCGGGCAGACGCAGAAGAGGCGCGTCCGGCGCGCGACACGTGTCCAACGGATACTTTTCAAATTCAAAATTTGAAATATTCTAGCGGGAAACGGACGGAAATTCAAAATTTGAACCCATTTTCAGGATTTTTTACTTCCCGCCCATGACAAATTGCATGAACGAGAAGTGGAGGGCTTATTGATGGGTGTATTTCACCCAAGACCGGTCAAAGGAGGAGGACAAATCTTTGACCGGTCAATCTCGAAAGTTTTGGAAGGGAGACTTTAATCGTCAGCAAAACGATATATCATCGGCCAAAATATGACCGGTACACTTCACAAAAAGTATACCGGTCAAACTACGTTGTCATCCTATTTGTTCCAGACTTCGATAAATTCATCCCTCGGAGACTACCCGGTGTAGTTTCTGGGGTTGGAAAGTGTCGGTAGGAGAGGATCTGCGAGGGTTTGGCGTGTAGCGACCCGTGTCAGTAGAGGACAACTGGAGATGCTGAAGGATCCATCCAAGGCACTACTTGACAAAGGGAATGATCCCCTTCACAAGGCGACAAGGCAGCTTGAGGACGAAACCAGTCACCTCGCACCACATCGGCAGCATGCCCCCACGTGGGCGCACGTGGTCCTGTCCCCTTAGCCTAGTATAAATACTCATGTAAACCTCAGAAAGA